CCAAAGCATTGCAGTACAGATGTGATTATTTGTATTTAGGTGATGTAAGCTACTTGCGAAACAGGTACTGATTTTCGGTGGTTTTTGGCTGTTTTTTTTTTTCGTTATTATGCAATATCCAGCCTTAAAAAGTAGCGGAATGATGTCGTGATATATAGAAGACCCAGTAAATAAGATATGAGCACATTCCTGCCAGCGGTTTCAAAGGAGATCGGGTTACGTGGTGGCGATTAGCAGAATTAATATATATATATATATTATGAATATTATTATTATCATTTTTCCTTAAAATCATCCTAGTTTCTCACCATTCTCATTTCTGGATCAAGAACTGTGCTATGTTTCTGAAGAAGCTCAATAAGTTCTTGAGGTAAATTGCTCAAATCTGTCTGATAGCAATGTGCAATCTGAAGAAAATCAAATAAATACATATCTGCATCAATAGTAATAACAAAAATAAAAAAATAAATATATATACATAAATGCTAATAAGAACAATAAAATAAAATAAAAAATTATAACAATAAAATTAAACTTAATTCATAATGCTATGCCACTTTTATCTTGAAGCAGTGAAGTTCTTGACAAAGAAATTCAAAATCCCAAAAATCATTTCTTGGCATGTCCATTTATTCATTCAATCTATTCTGCCGTCTTGAACTATGACTGAATTGATATGAATCAATGTCCTCAATCTAATACAGTCTTCAGCCAGCACAGTCTTCTATTGGTATTTACAGAACAGGCTCTTTAAATTTCTCTTTATGGTATCTCTGTACCGATGTTTGGGTCTGCCTCTTTGTCTGAAGCCGCATGTTAGCCTGGCCCAGCCCATCGTAGATTTCTCTGAATAAGGAGGACATGAACACACTTGAGGCGTGGGGCGGATTGCTAAAAGCGGTCTTTAGACAGTCTCAACACTTAGCCGGCATTAATCGTGACGTCGCTACTGGTCTATGATTATAGACCATCGCTATACCAGTCTAACCAGTTACAGTAACCGTCTTAAATTTTAAAGTCAGGCTCCGGAGGAAAAAAATTTTTTTGATATGTTGTAGAACTGATTTTTCTAAGACAGAAAAAATTTGTTTGACGAAAAACTAAGCAACGGTGAATGAGATACAGATTTTTGAATATTTAAAAACTGGGGGAAAAAGGGGCGTAACCGCCCATTTTTACACCTTTTTCCCCCAGTTTTTAAATATTCAAAAATAAGCCACTAATTCATCCATCATTGGAATATTGTAACAGTGTTTGGGTGCCTAGATTCCTTGAAGATGAAGATACTGTAGATTAGAGAAATTGCAACAAAAAGCTACTTGATTTATTTCGGGGTTGAGGGGACTGGATTATGAGAATAGGTTAACAAGACTAAACCTTCCTACACTAACTTATAGAAGGAAGAGAGCATCAGTTAGCCAGGTTTTAAAAATTTTTAATGGTTTTAATAAGTTTGGAGTTCATACATTTTTTGAAATGTCGTCAGCTGTATTTACTAGGGACACTCACTAAAATTAAAGAAACCGAGAGTTAAAACTATGTGGGGAGAACAAAGTTTTAGTGCCAGAGTAATTAACAATTGGAATAACTTGTCAGTTAAAGCTGTGTGTTCATAGTCAAATAATCAATTGAAGTCAAGGCTTGAGAAGACCACTGTTTTGATCACCACCAGAATTTTAAACAGCATGTAAAAGACTCGTACGAAGGGGCAAATAAGCAATAATGCTTTATGCTTTACAGTAGCTTCAAGATCAAGGTTAAATCAAGGTAAAATGTAACGCCGTAAAATGATCTAAGACGGTTTTATTTCTTCTCCGAGTAGGCTTTAAAGTCAGGCTCCGGAGGAAAAAAAATTTTTGATATGTTGTAGAACTGATTTTTCTGAGACAGAAAAATTTTGTTTGACGAAAAACGATTTTTGCATCGTTCAAAACTATAACACTACAGTTGGGTAGAACACGATCTACTGTACCAGACATGAAACCATGTTGTGCATCAGAGAAAAACAAATTTCATTGAAAATGCTTAACAATTTCATCTCAACAAATGTTTCCATTGTCTTTACACAGGTACTAGACTTAGGCCTATGTGTAGATCATCCAATAGATGAAGAATCGAACAAAGAATATTTTGCCCAAGCTTCTCAGCGTATGTAAAAACCGGTCTACGTTTATTTACGTTAATTTTCATAAATATGCATGTTTTGAGCAAGCGTAACAGCATCCTCAATTTTACGTTACCAGGAAAAGCTTGTTGCCTTTCGATACTCAAATCGGTCTCAGCAAAGACTGTTTTATAGCAATGATCTTTGCAAAGTGACTTTAGTAAGATGGTCTAAGTGATAAAGCCGGCTTTCTTTCAGGAGTTAAGACTACCAGCCATTTTATAGCAATCTGCCCTGCTCGCTGGATTGTAACTTCTTTGTAAGTCACAAAGAGTCCCCACTTGATATTAATAAATTTATTGCATGTCCATAACTAATAATAAAAATCGAAAAGATATTTATTAATATTATTATTTGTTATCAATTTTTAAAAATAAATTAACAATAAAAAAAGAAAATTTAATAAAAAATAAGATAATAAATTATTTATAGCATTACCTGACAATGAAACATGACAAGCTCATGTAAAGACTTCGAATACTGTGAAGGTTTCAAGTGGAAGATTTGAAGGTTGGACTTGTAATGGCGATGTTGCTGATAAAACTAAAATTGAAAAGAAGAAGCTATGTCAATGTCCAACAAATGAGATATGTTACATTTTTAACAATTACAGTGTTACTGTATTTTTAAAATAGTTTATTAATCTATTTTAAAAAGACAACAAGCTTTAGTGAGTGAACAGTATGCAGTACAGGTTTACAGCCATGAGCATGAGTAGCCGTAGGCCTAGTGAGAGCAGCACTGAATTGCACACATGTAGCCTGCTGGGGTGTCGGCTATCTCATACACAAGCCAACACGTACACATGCCAACTCGTACATACTTTGGCAAACTCGTACACACGATTGGTGATCTCGTACACATGACTTTTGGCGAACTCTTACGCAAATGCATTTTTGATAGTCAATTTCAATTTTTTTTTCGATCTACTGTAGCTGCATCAATAGGGTGAGCAAAGAACAAATTGCCAATGGGATAGATTTGGACGGTAGAATCTTGTATTCTGCAGTAAAAGTTCTGATTCTTAATTCTTAACAGATTTTCAGTTGTAACAACCCTGGTACAGTAAAGTGCCAATTAATCCATTTTCGGGTATCTACAGGTAGGGGGAAAAAATGTTTTGTTTTGTACTGTAACATTAATTTATTAACAACTATTTGTATTGATGTTATTTTCTACTTATTAGTTGCAACTAGGGTATAATTTGCTGAAACGTTCTCGCAAATAGATTACTACGGTAGGCCTACTCTTGAGGTGAAGCATACACAATACTGTTTGTATTTTCTTGTTTGTTTTATTTCCATTTTCGATACATATTCTGATGTTTATAAAATAAATGGAAATATAGTAAAATATAGATTTAATATAGTATATAAATATATATGGCTGTTTTGGGATTCTTTTTAAAAGGTGGAAAAATTCACGAGGCCACTAGTTCCCTGGTAACTAGGCTTACAAAAATAATCGGAAAGAAAATTTCCAACTTAACCAAAAAGGTTCCCATAGTACTTTTGAGGAAGCAAACACATTCTTTATACAACGCCTCCAGGAATGTCTACAAATTACTGCAAAGACAGAAGTAGGTCAAATGCTACAAAATATCTATTTTTAGGTGCAACACGTGTGCGCGATAGCAGTGACGTCACGTGTGTTCACCTACTTCATATCACCATCAACTCTAGACTGTCTGCTATATCAGGGGTGTCATTTTAAGCCAGCAGCCGGCGCAATCTTCATCTAGCCGGCTGAGAGTCAATAATGTTTTGGGACGGGGTTCCAAATTGTGGCAGCTAAAAAAATTAAAAAGGATCAGTGGATGTTAAATCTAGGCGTCCCTAAACTGTACCATCCGCAGAAGGCCACAACTGCCCTACTCTCCCCTGTTAGGTAGGCTAAATTGCACACACTCTCAACCACATACGGTGGAGTCTGTTACTGGTACTGCCCTGGGCTGGTTAGGTCTACTGTAGCTAGCCGCAGATTAAACAATGCTAAAAAAAACACGTTTTTGGCCTTCCCCAATTCCTTCTTTATTTCAAAAGGTAAAGGTATATTGGACTCGTCATATTGACAAAACAAAACAAAAACAGATAACAACAACAGTGAAAGTGTTTTAATATCAAATCGTCAAATATCACATCCACATTGTGCAAAGAATCATGAACAAAAGACTGCAAAATTAAATTGTTTTTAAAGAGCGAGTTTTTTAAAATCATGTGATATGGGTGCATGTCGTTGTGCATATAACAAAACCACTTCGGTTGTACAGTATACACAGCCGCTGTACGTAAATACAACAATACAATTTGAGTAGTTTAAATTACAAGAGTAAATGTTACACTAAACTTGTGTACGAGCTAGCCAATTCATGGCATGTACAGGCTTGCCAAAACTGTGTGTACGAGTTCGCCAAAGTGTGTCGTACGAGTTGGCATGTGGACTCCTCCACAGTGAACTGACTGGTTAGCCGCCAGCCAAAGCAAGACCACGGTGGAGAGGCCTAGCTAGTCAGGCTAGAGCAAAACATAGAAGAAATGAAATAGATTACCTCCTCCTTATATGATTCTGGATCTCTTTTTATCAAGTTCTGCAGCTGTGGCAGATTATTAGGCAACTGGTTCCTATTACGGTCACTCATTTTCCTTCAAATTTACTATTAAAAAACAAGATCATTAACACTCCTTGACGTTCCACACGTGTACTCTAGAGTGTTGTTGGTTGATTACTACCGCCACACTGTGTCGGCGGTGTCGGTCCGGTCCGCCGGTAAAAGGCAATCTAAAGTATGACGTAATTACATGCACATGCGTAAAAGGAAAACAACTTGATGACTGATGAGAGTGAGAACTTCCACGTAGTACTTTAACTTATGATTGTTTACTTTTTTATTTCATACTTTTATGTCGTTTTAGTTATACCAAACCATTGACAATGCACGGTTCTGAAGGATCAGACAGCTCAGTGAAGATATTCGCCAACATCTTCATAACATTTGTAGGCGCTGGCGTTCTAGGCCTACCGTTCGCGTTCAAAGAGGTAAGTCATGACAAGGTAGGGCCTACTAGTAACTAGGCAGCCTAGACCGAGGCGGATTCCCAACGAATTCGCTCGGCTTGACTCAAGTTTAGGCCTAGACTAGGCCTTGGTTATATCGATTCTTATCCCATCCACCACTTCCCACCAGTTATCATTTAATTAATAAAAATGAATATATGTCTTTTCCAACCAAGGGCCCAAGCAAAGATTCTGAAAAAAAAACACAAAAAAAAAAACAACCCCCCCCCCTCCCCCCCCCCACCAAATAAAAAAAAAAAATCCTATATAGGCCTATGGCTTGGTTGGTAGTTATCTTGTGTATCATTAACCTAGCCCTTCTTCTGCGCACCCATTTGCTTAGCGATTTTCCGTGCAAATTTGAGTTGGTCTTTGAGGTATTTATTTATCATCCGTACAATTAAAAAACTTTATTTACAGTATGGACAAGATATCTAAAACATATAAAGCTAACTTGTTGGTTTGATCAGAGTAGTATAATAATAATGTTGATTGGTTTTGTCCTCAACAGGCTGGTATATTAGAAGGCATTGTCATAATGATACTTATATCAGCTGTCAGGTAATTATTATTGAATTTCCACATCATTTTTGACAAATTTAAATTTCTCAATTCGGCCAGTCGAAGAAGATAATATTGAGTATACTATGTTAAAAGCCATTTGGCTCTTCAAACCATTTCAGAAAATGTGAACATGATCAATTATGTTTAAAAAGCATAAACTTTTAAATATAAATAGAAAAAAACATACATAGTTACACTCTTTATTATCATCACAAAATTATAAAGCAAAAAAAACATACTTTGAAGAAACTTCTTCCGTTCTTGAGAGAAGCTTAGCTCAGTTACCTAATCTGGTGGTAGCCACTGTGTGTGCGCTGAACCATGGAGATGTAAGTCCCTGGCTCAATTTTCATTGATGCCTATTCTTGTGTTTTAGTTAGCCTGAAATACAAGTTACAATAGTGGATGACGTTTAAGTTTGTGTGAATTTATGGCCCATGTGCATGTTAAAGAACACATTACACTCTTTGGAAAAGAGTAGGGATTGCCTCCCGGTGTACTGCCCAATCACCACCAGAAGAACCCCACTGGAAATGAGTCTTCTTCTAGACTTCCATGGCCTATCCTTGGTGTTTACACAGAATAAATCCAATCCAATCCATGTTGTAACCAAGTCTTTTCAATTTCAATGTATATTTATTTCAGCATCAAAGCTATGCTCCTGTTAATAGACTGTAAATATAGATTGAACAGGCGGCCAGAAATACGCAAGATTTATAAAATTGTAGAAGTCGAAACAGAAGAAAATCATCAAGGGAATACTTATGAAAAATTAGATTTACTAGAAAGTCATACAAATGAATCAAATGGATTCAGACATGATGTCCAGGACGTAAAAGAATTAAAGGTAAGTAAATAGTATTAAATAATAGAATAAATTCATTCGGATTGTTGAAATAATATTTCGGTAATCTGATTTTGGAAAGTATAGGCAAAATTACTGTTTATGGGTACTATGATATTATAAATATTTACTATCTTTCAGAATCTTGGTTTACGCTGATCATTTCTTTCACTGTCATAATTTTAAGAGACTATTATTTGTTGGGTTTTTTTTGGCTGTGAAATGAGGAACAACCCACAAAATTTAAGACTTGTTTCTAGTGGGGTCCTTCTGGTCATAAATTGGTTAGTTTAAAACCAGGAGACAATCGACCGGTGCACTCTTTTCCTAAAATAACAATGAATAAGCCATAGACTGTAACATGCACCAATGGCTTAAATGTGTCATATGAAAACAGCATAAAAATTGTTCTACTAATGATTATAAATTCAATTTTATTTACCGATCAATCAATTATCCCACAAATTTGGCTGAACACTGAACAGTATAATTTAAGCAGATGGCTATTCTTCTGTGAGATTATTGTGAAATTAATGCTGTAAAGAGCACACAGTCAGTGAGATACCTCAGAGATAATTCATCTATAATTTTATAGCAGTAATAATATTTAATTTATTTATGAACTTTACCTTTAAAAAAATGCACTTGTTTGCTATTTTAAATGGTAGACATTTGGCTGAAATGTGTGTCGTTTAACAAAATTTTGATAAATACCATAAACAAAGACAATAATATGTAGTATATGTGGCAAATATGCAAAAAGCTATAAAATGGTAAAAGAATCATTTAAATCCGACATTTCATTGAAGTTACAGTAGTTCTTTTAAAGAATTTTTTTTGAGAAATCAGCCTTAAAGGTTAGTGATTTCTAGCATTTCTTAGGCAGAAACCATCACCAAATCCTTAAAAATTGTTGTTTCAACATTGAGAATTGGGAAAATAACATTTTTTTTTTTTTTTTTCAGAGTTCTCAGAAAGAATTGGATTATGGTGATCTAGGTTTGTTATTTAACTATACTGAACATAAAACGAAAAGTCCACTGAATAATAAGATAGTATAATACATACTCCAAGTATCGAAATGCACGCCATTGTGTCGGGATTCAATTCCAACACAATGGGGGTGAATCTTATACTGAACATTTTGAATATGAATCATTTATAAGGCCCCATAAAGGGACAAAAAGAATGATGATATATGTAAGGTCAATTAAAATCCCAGCCTACCAAAATACTTTAAGAATCTATGATCAGTTTAATTTTGTGCAATGAACCTTAGAATTAGGCATGCGTAAATGTAAAAACATTTCAGACCAACCCACCAACCAATCTCCAAATGTCACAGTGCTTTTGGGAACACAGAAATTTTATTTGGCATCATAACTGTAGTATAGGTGGTGTGAAAAGACCTTTACTATTGTATGGTTTGTGTAAAATGTAATGTATTTTTAAGTACATATAAATAAAATTTTAAAAATGTTTTTATTTGTAGGTTATTATGCTCTTGGTAATACTGGGAGAACGGTTGTGGACACAGTAATCGTTATATCTCAAACAGGTACAGTGATTTATGCAAGATACGTTCAAGCAGGCAGCCCCTTAGTTTCAGCTCCATGTCAGTATTGTTGGAACCCCTTGTTCCTCATCTAACTGCATCTAGAGCTGGGAATTTGGCATAGGCACTTAATATCACAGGATCTACTCAACTGTGTAGGCCTAAAGCCAGGCATGAACTACATCTGGTGGTACTCACAGTGCCACGATCGTTTTTAATGACGATCCGTTCAGACAGCCACTGAAAATCAGCTGACGGTGTTGTATCGACTAGCGCTCATACAACGCAGTGAGTGCTCGGCTTTAATTATAGGTCAAAGTGTAAACCCCAGGCAACATGTGGCCCGATAGCAATTTTGTTGCAGCCCGCAAGTTGGCTTAGATGTGGACAAAACTGTAGATATAATGTTGCATTATTGTTTTTGTGCCTGAATACAGCGGGCTATTCCATTATTTTCTTATGAGTAGGCCGGGCACTCAAGAAAATAATGTGCCTGAAGAAAACAGGCAATTCCATTATTTCATTGAGGGTATGCTTTTTCTTTTTTTTCTTTTCTTTGTAGGGTTTTGTTGTGCCTACTTGATATTTATTACTGAAAACCTTGGATCATACATTGTAAAATTTGCCACATTCCAGTGGTTATTGTTTCTACTTCCACCTCTGGCATTTCTTGCCATGCTGAGACATCTTAATCATTTAGCTATATTC